CTATAAAAAACATCAAAACAAAATAAAACCCCCTATTGCAAGCTGTCATACATAGGGAGTTATCCTGCTTCGCAAGTGTCATAATTGAACAGTTGCATTTGTTTCGATGATACATATAAATAAAATGTATGTTGAAAGAATGTGGGTCAGGTGCGGTAGCTCACACTTGTAATCCCAACACTTTGGGAGGCTGAGGCAGGCAGATCTTGTGGTCAGGAGTTCAAGACTAGCCTGACCAATATGGTGAAACCCCATCTCCACTAAAAATACAAAAATCAACTGGGTGTGGTGGTGTGCGCCTGTAATCCCAACTACTGAGGAGGCTGAGACAGGCAGGAGAATCACTTGAACCCGGGAGGCAGAGGTTGCAGTGAGCTGAGACTGAACCACTGCACTCCAGCCTATGTGACACAGAAATACTCCATCTCAAAAAAATAAATAAATAAATAAAAAGCACTTAATACGTTTTTTATTTGGTAAGTGAATGAGAGATTCAATGGTTCAATTATGAATACTTTTTAACTCAAGAGAGAAGTGTAGGCACTGAAATTATAACATTAAAAATAGCACTAGACCCCTCAGCCAGGTGCTGTGACTCACACCTGTAATCCCAGCTCTTTGGGAGGCCGAGGCAGGCAGATCACCTGAGGTCAGGAGTTCGAGACCAGCCTGAACAACATGGAGAAACCCTGTCTCTACTAAAAATACAAAATTAGCCAGGTATAGTGGCACATGCCTGTAATCCCAGCTACTAGGGAGGCTGAGGCAGGAGAATCATTTGAACCAGGGAAGTGGAGGTTGTGGTGAGCTGACATCACGCCATTGCACTCCAGCCTGGGCAACAAGAATGAAACTCTATCTAAAGAAAAAATAGCAATAAAGTTTTTCTAGGCCGGGCGCGGTGGCTCACGCCTGTAATCCCAGAACTTTGGGAGGCCGAGGCAGGTGGATCACCTGAGGTCGGGAGTTTGAGACCAGACTGACTAACATGGTGAGACCCCATCTTTAAAAAAAAAAAAAAAAAGTCTTTCTTTTGACTACCAAATATTTGTAGGAAATTTTATACACAAAATTAGTTATTTCTCAGAAAACACATAAACTTACAGTTATTCCTATTTTACATTTGAGAAACCAGTGCACAAGTAAGTTGCCTCCTGCCCCAGACTGCCTATAAATAACAACTCCAACAAACCTGCCAAAAAGATATGTGACTTTTTTTTTTCTTCTATTTTTTAGGGAAAGAGGGGACAGGGTCTTACTCTGTTGCCCAGGCTGGGGTGCAGTGGCATGATCACAGCTTACTGCAGTCTCAAATTCCTGTGCTCAAGTGATCCTCCTACCTCAGCCTCCCAAGTAGCTGGGACTACAGGCACATGCCACCACTCCAAGCTAATTTCTTTTTTTATTTTTTGTAGAGACAGGATTTCTTTTTCTTTTTTTTTTTTTCTTTCTTTTCTTTTCTTTTTTTTTTTTTTGAGACGGAGTTTCGCTCTTGTTACCCAGGCTGGAGTGCAATGGCACAATCTCGGCTCACCGCAACCTCCGCCTGCTGGGTTCAGGCAATTCTCCTGCCTCAGCCTCCTGAGTAGCTGGGATTACAGGCACGCGCCACCATGCCCAGCTAATTTTTTTGTATTTTTAGTAGAGACAGGGTTTCACCTTGTTGACCAGGATGGTCTCGATCCCTTGACCTCGTGATCCACCCGCCTCGGCCTCCCAAAGTGCTGGGATTACAGGCTTGAGCCACCGCGCCCGGCCTTTTTTTTTTTTTTCCGAGACGGAGTTTTGATCTTGTTACCCAGGCTGGAGTGCAATGGCGCAATCTTGGCTCACAGCAACCTCCGCCTCCTGGGTTCAGGCAATGCTCCTGCCTCAGCCTCCTGAGTAGCTGGGACTACAGGCACCCGCCACCATGCCCAGCTAATGTTTTGTATTTTTAGTAGAGACGGGGTTTCACCATGTTGACCAGGATGGTCTCGATCTCTTGACCTTGTGATCCACGCGCCTCGGCCTCCCAAAGTGCTGGGATTACAGGCGTGAGCCACTGCGCCCAGCCGAGACAGGATTTCACTACATTGCCCGGGCTGGTCTCAAACACCTGGGTTCCAGCAATCCTGCGTCGGCCCCCGCCAAATGCTGAGATTACAGGCAGGAGCCACCACTCCTGCAGCCCATATTTGGCTTTTTGCTAGTTCTAGAACTCAGTCATATTATTTCCAGTTATTTCTCAACATTTTAAATTAACTTGTACCAATCCGTTTTACGTATAGGATGTCAGCTAACCCACATGTTTTAAATGGTTGGTGCAATTCTTTTAGAATTGTGTTCCCAGAAATAGTAGTGGATCCAAGGATTTATAAATGATTAATCCCAAAATACACTGTAACTGTTCATATACAAATTAGTTTGTACCTTGCCCAGAATTAGATGTTTCAATGCCTCAGTTCACATTTAATTCAGAACTCCAATTATTCTGCTTGTGTGTTGGTTTTGAGATGGAGTGTCGTTTTGTCACCCAGGCTGGAGTGCAGTGGTGCCATCGCAACTCACTGCAACCTCCGCCTCTCAGGCTCAAGCGGTGCTCCTGCCTCAGCCTCCTCAGTAGTTGGGATTACAGGCAGGTGGCACCAAGCGGGGCTAATCTTTGTATTTTTAGTAGAGACGGGGGTTTGCATTGTCGGCCAGCTGGTCTCAAACTCCTGAATTCAAGTGATCTTTCCACCTCGGCCTCCTGAAGTGCTGGGAATACAGGAGTGAGCCACCACGCCCAGCCCAGAACTCCCAATTATTCTGAATGTTACGTTGGATTACACTGAGAAAAGAAAGATGATTCAATTATTCACAAACCTGAGCCAGGAAGTCCTACTGGTTGTTATGAAAGGCTGTGGTAAAGAATTGTTAAATTGCCGGGCGCGGTGGCTCACGCCTGTAATCCCAGCACTTTGGGAGGCTGAGGCGGGTGGATCACGAGGTCAAGAGATCGAGACCATCCTGGTCAACACGGTGAAACCCCATCTCAACTAAAAATACAAAAAATTAGCTGGGCATGGTGGCGTGTGCCTGTAATCCCAGTTACACAGGAGGCTGAGGCAGGAGAATTGCCTGAACCCAGGAGGTGGAGGTTGCAGTGAGCAAGATCGCGCCATTGCACTCCAGCCTGGGTAACAAGAGCGAAATCAAAGCCCTAATATTATCTCCCAGATGACCTCCGCTCACCTGGTTTCCTGTTTGCTGCCTGAGGGTTGCCCAGTACACAACGGGCACTTTCTTCTCTATTCCCGGTTGCGTTTACTTACTTCCTCTGTGTATTTCTAGCCTGTGAGCAGATTACTAATAGCATTTGGATAAAGATCATCTCTTATTTATCATTTTAGGACAAACAATGAAATATAGGAAAAAAAATACAACAAAATCAACCAAAGAAAAAAGGAGACTTTGGACCCTGACAAGGGGGGTTTCAGTCCCACAGTTGCTACTTCCTTCACTTCACGTCTCTTGACAACCTGACAGGGAGCAGTGATCTGTGGAAGGATTTTTCAAATTATTTTAAGGAGAAAAACTTGAACTTCTTCGGGAGTCAGTAGGTTATGAGTTCACTTACTGTGCTATGGTAGGAAAAGTTACCAATAAAATTTTATACAAACTTCTGTCATATATAAAATGGGGGACAATAATGACTGAGTTATTTTATTTTATTTTATTTTTGAGACAGTCTCGGTCTGTTGCCCAGGCTGGAGTGCAGTGGCGCGATCTCGGCTCACTGCAACCTCCGCCTCCCAGTTTCAAGAGATCCTACCTCAGCTCCTGTAGTAGCTGGGATTACAGGCACCTGCCACCATGCCCGGCTAATTTTTGTATTTTTAGTAGAGATGGGGTTTCACCATGTTGGCCAGGCTGGTCTCAAACTCCTAACCTCAGGTGATCCGCCCACTTCAGTCTCCCAAAGTGCTGGGATTACAGGCATGAACCACCACGCCCGGCATGACTGAGTTTTAAACTTACAATTTTATATAAAGAATACTTGGGCTCGGAGTGGTGGCTCACGCCTGTAATGCCAACACTTTGGGAGGAGAAGGCTGGAGAATCACTGGAGGCAAGGAGTTCGAAACTAGCCTGGTCAAAGTAGAGAGGACCCCCCCTACCCCCACCCCCAACACACACACAACAAATAACATACTCTATAGACTTTTTTTTTTTTTTTGAGACGGAGTCTCCCTCTGTTGCCAGGCTGGAGTGCAATGGAAAGATCTTGGCCACTGCAACCTCCGCCTCCTGGGTTCAAGTGATTCTCCTGCCTCAGCGTCTTCAGTAGCTGAGATTACCGGAGCGCGCCACCACGGCCAGCTAATTTTTGTATTTTTAGTAGAGATGGGGTCTCACATTGTTGGCCAAATTGGTCTCGATCTCTTCACCTTGTGATCTGCCCACCTGGGCCTCCCAAAGTGCTGGGATTACAGGCTTGAGCCACCACGCCCGTCCTACTCTGTAGACTTTAAAAGCTATGATTACTAGATCGTTGGCAGATGAAAAAGATGCTGGGTATTAGTACAGAGAGAAACCTGGAGTTTTAGTTGGTTGAGTAACTTGCTTAGGAAATATAATGTATTTGGTAGGAGAAAATAGTTTAGCCTTCTTCAAGCCACCAGTCTGGTACCTGAAGTATGCTGTTTCCACGTTTCATTACTAAATTCCTTCCCACATCCTGCTCAAGTCTCCGGCAACTGTTCCCGCCCCCCAAGGTCTCCGGAACCATGCTATGGATAATTACATTAAAAGTGCACAGAAAAGGGCGAGGAATGGTATTAGTAATTCAACCCATACAAAAGTCACCTCCTGAATAAGAAAGGATACAATTTTAGCATTTACAAATTGTGGGGGAGGGAACAGAAGGGGAGAAGAAAAGAAGAGGTGGGGAGAAAAAGGGTCTTTGAGAGGCAGGAAGTGGGAGGAGACTTTGCAAACAACAGTCTTGGGCCAGGGGCCATTTTGGAAGTCTCTGGCCAAGCTCCGCTTCCTATCGGAATATGGAGAAGGTAAAAGGCAAGGAGGTCAGTACAGTTTTAGTGAATTTATTTTCTGTCTGTCTTTGTCTCCTTGTGTTTCTGTTGTCCCTGAGCACTCCTGATTATTATTATTATTATTATTATTGTTATCATTTTGAGATGGAGACTTGCTCCGTCGCCCAGGCTGGAGTGCAATGGCCCGATCTCGGCTCACTGCAACCTCCGCCTCCCGGGTTCAAGCCATTCTCCTGCCTCAGCCTCCTCAGTAGCTGGGATTACAGGCGCCCGCTACCACGCCCAGCTAATTTTTGTATTTTTAGTAGAGATGGGATTTCACCATGTTGGTCAGGCTAGTCTCAAACTCTTTGACTTCAGGTGATCTGCCTTGGCCTTCCCAAGTGCTTGGGATTACAGTCGTGAGCCACCGCGCTCGGCCCGGATTTTTCTTTTAAGGAGAAAACAGTGTGCCTTCGAATTTTCTTCTCTTGACTCTATTTTAGAGTAAACCCCAAGAACGTGATTGCAACCTGGTATATTGAAGTAAGAAATGAGGTTCAGCTGAGGAGGTTGAGGGTGCCAAAATATAGGGAAAAAGAAAGAAATTAGGTGTTTGTTTTTGGAACAGGGTCTCACTTTGTCTCCCAGGCTGGAGTGCAGTGGTACCATCACTGCTCACTGCCACCTTGACCTCCCAGGCTCAAGCGGTCTCTCCGCCTCGGCCTTCCAAAGTGCTTTTGGACACACGCCGCTGCTCCCGGCCCGGGTTTTCTGTTTTGAAGAAGTGCTTTGTTCTGTCAGAGAATTAACTGAATATCGGGGCTAGAGGGAAATGGTTACAGGAGAAAAACGGTGGTGAGGGAAGATTTTAGGAAGAGGTCATTGAGCTGAGGTTGGAAAAGAGTGAAACTCCTTAATTTCCTTTAGATGGACACAGATCCTAAACCAAAGGTGCTGGGTATGAATTCTCCTTTTCCCAGTGTCCTTAGGACTTAGGAGTAACCGGAGCCACACATTAGCAGCCGGGCAGACAGAAACTTTGAGACGTGTTGCACGGGCACTGAACGGCCGTATTTGAACCTCTTTACTTGAACTGGGTCATTTTTAATTCTCTCAGTTTTAAGACTTCGTGAGGTCCAAAGTGCGTACTTCTTGTAAGGGTTATGCAAATGTAAATTTCAAATCCAAATGCAGACCTGGTATAGCGATGTAAAAATGCCACACAAATGTTAATTTGTGCAGTAATCCACCCTGAAAGTGAAGAAAAAGATTTAGATTTCGGGGAAGTTTTAGATTACATTTTTTTTTTTTTTTTTTTTTTTAATTTTAGAGAAGGAGTCTCGCTCTGTCTTCTAGGCTAGAGTGCAGTGGCGTGATCTCGGCGGACTGCAACCTCCGCCTCCCGGGTTCAAGCAATTCTTCTGCCTCAGCCTCCTCAGTAGCTAGGATTACCAACTAGTTTTAGCTTAGACCACCTGACTAGTTTTTTTGTATTTTTGGTAGAGACGCGGTTTTACCTTGTTGGTCAGGCTGGTTTCGAACTCCTGACCTTGTGATCTGCCTGCTTCGGCGCCCCAAAGTGCTGGGATTACAACTTTAAGCCACCGCACCCGGCCTAAACATTTTTTTTTTTTTTTTTTTTAAATGAGACGAGTTTCCTTCTGTCTCCCAAGCTGAAGTACAGTGGCTGATCTCGGCTCACTGCACCCTCTGCCTCCCGGGTTCAAGGGATTCTCCTGACTCAGCCTATCGATTACCTGGGATTACAGGCACGCAGCACCATGCCCAGCTAATTTTTGTTGTTGTTTTGTTGAGAAGGAGTCACGCTCTGTCGCCCAGGCTGGAGTGCAATGGCGCGATCTGGGCTCACTGCAACCCCTGTCTCCGGGTTCAAGTAATTTTCCTGCTTCAGCCTCTGGAGTAGCTGGGATTACAGGTGCCTGCCACGACGCCCGGCTAATTTTTGTATTTTTGTATTTTTATTTTTTGAGACGGAGTTTCGCTCTTGTTACCCAGGCTGGAGTGCAATGGCGTGATCTCGGCTCACCGCAACCTCCGCCTCCTGGGCTCAGGCAATTCTCCTGCCTCAGCCTCCTGAGTAGCTGGGATTACAGGCACACGCCACCATGCCCAGTTAATTTTTTGTATCCTTAGTAGAGACGGGGTTTCACCATGTTGACCAGGATGGTCTCCATCTCTTGACCTCGTGATCCACCCGCCTCACTCAGCCTCCCAAAGTGCTGGGATTACAGGCTTGAGCCACTGCGCCCGGCTAATTTTTGTATTTTTAATAGCGATGGTATTTCACCATGTTGGTCAGGCTGGTCTCGAACTTTTTTTTTTTTTTTTTGAGACAGAGTTTCACTCGTTACCCAGGCTGGAGTGCAATGGTGCGATCTCAGCTCACCGCAACCTCCGCCTCCTGGGTTCAAGCAATTCTCCTGCCTCAGCTTCCTGAGTAGCTGGGATTACAGGCACGCGCCACCATGCCCAGCTAATTTTTTGTATTTTTAGTAGAGACGGGGTTTCACCATGTTGACCAGGATGGTCTCAATCTCTTGACCTCGTCATCCACCCGCCTCAGCCTCCCAAAGTCCTGGGATTACAGGCATGAGCCACTGCGCCCAGCCAGAGACAACCATTTTCATTCTAAGAGCGATAAACCGCTGAAAGGATGTAAAGTTTTCATAGTGTAACTCTGCCAACAGTGTTAGAAAAGAATTTATTGCCTGGCGCGGTGGCTCAAGCCTGTAATCCCAGCACTTTGGGAGGCCGAGTCAGGTGGATCAAGAGCTCGAGACCATCCTGGTCAACATGGTGAAACCCTGTCTCTACTAAAGGTGCAAAAAATTAGCTGGGCATAGTGGCGCGTGCCTGTAATCCCAGCTACTCCGGAGGCTGAGGCAGGAGAATTGCCTGAACCCAGGAGGTTGCGGTGAGCCGAGATCGCGCCATTGCACTCCAGCCTGGGTAACAAGAGCGAAACTCCGTCTCAAAAAAAAAAAAAAGAAAAGAAAGGAAAACTATTTGTAAGGGGTCAAGAGTGAAGGACTGGGAGGAAAAAAAAAAGTATTCCTGATAAGAGATGATAAAATATAGTAAGTTAGGGAAGGGCTTTTTGTTTTTTTTTACCCCTTTTTTTTTTTTTTTTTTTTTTTTTTGCGCAATTTGACCTTTTGATGTTATGCAATGTTTTTTGTTTTTTTTTCTAAGACAGATTCTCGTTCTGTCACCCAGGCTGGAGTGCAGTGGTGCAGCCTCACCTTGCTACAAGCTCTACCTACCTTCCTGGCTCAAGCAGTCCTCCTACTTGAATAGCTGGGACTACAGGCATGCACCATCATTCTCAGCTAATTTTGTTTCCTTTCTGTAGAGGCAGGGTTTCACTTTGTTGCTCAGGCTGATCTCCAATTACTGGACTCAAGCCGTGGCCTCCTAAAGCACTGGGATTACAGGCCTGAGCCACCACTCCTGGTCTGCCTAAGCACTTCTTCCCCCAAGGCAGATCCTGTTCTCTTCTACTCTTGTTTATTTCTGTGTTTTCATGTGCTTTCAGACTGACTTCTTCCCATTTTTTCCATCATTGCTTCCCAGTCTTGTAAATGAAACTGAGTATTAAGAGGATACCCCAGAGGAGAATCCACATTACCAGTGGAGTGCAGGACTGTCTTGGTGCCTTAGAAGTGAGTTATCTTGAGGCAGGTAGTGTATGTGCGGTTTGGACACTAGAGGAATGACTGATCAGCTTCTCTGTTCCCCAGTGGACCCCCACAGAGAAGGCGAGGGAAGAGGATCAGCAGGCTTCTAATCAACCAAACACGATTGCATTGCCGGGAACATCAGCGAAGGGGGGAACCAAAGGGAAAGTATCTGTCAAAGGTGACAAAGGTAAGAGGTCTACAAATCCTCAAATCCCACTTTCTCAGGTCTTAGAAGCCTGAAGAACTTTTCTAATGGAAAAGGAAAAACCAGGGAAGAAATTTCCACCATCTATTGTGCAAATCCTACACTTCTTGGAAGCCTACCTGAAACTGCACCTCCCTGAAGCATCTTTTGGTCACCTTTGCTGTCACTGATCCCTTCCTGTCTTCAGACTTCCACAGCATATTTGGTTCTGTTGATCATTTTTTGCTTCACTTGCTACTGGGAGTTAAGGATTTCCATGTGCAATCATCTGGGAACAGACAACTATAAGTTTGAAACTCATTCTTGAAACCGTACTTACTATCCTAAAAGTAAGTTAGGACAATACCTATCTTTATTCAGGCTTGGGTTTTGAGTGTGAAAATTGATGTTGAATAATTAGGTGAAGCGCTTACACTGTGCCTGAGAAGTGATGTGTACCTAGTAAACCCTAGTAACTGTTAGTGCCTTACAGGCTGTGTCTGTCCTGGAGGTGTGTTCTGGAAGTCTTTTTTTTTTTTTTTTTTTTTTTTTAAATACCTGAGAACTCTGGAAGTCTTTTTTTTTTGAGACACAGAGATAGGGTGTCGCTCTGTCAACATGATCTGAGCTCCCTGCAGCCTCTGCCTCCCAGTTCAAGTGAGGCTCCTGCCTCAGCCTCTCAAGTAGCTGGGATTGCAGGCATGTGCTGCAATTTTTGTATTTTTAGTAGAGACGAGATTTCACCATACTGGCCATGCTGGTTGCAAACACCTGGCCTCAAGTGATCTGTTTGCCTTGGACCCCCAAAGTGTTGGGATTACAGGCATGAGCCCACCGCGCCTGGCCAGAAATCTTTAATGAATGAAGACAGTGTATGTGAGGTGCAGAAGCTGGATGAACAAGAACACAGGAGGGCTAAGGAGGCGTGCCTGCAATGAGATCAGAGTGTTCCTCTGACTGGGGGGCTGGCAGAATTTGGGGTATTAGTGGTTGCCTGTGTAGCACTCCCAGGTGTTGATTTTGCTCTGTGGGAAGAGGACACCACCGCTGAGTATTTATGATCTCAAGAAGTGCCATCTCTAGTGCCACCACCTGGATTCTGTGGATTAAGGGGCTCACAAAGGCACAAGTGTACCTGAGTAGTGGGGAGATTTAGGAATTAAAACTGGATCTAGAAGTGGTAAGTCCTAGGTTTGAGAGGAATTGAACTATTCATAACTAAAAGTGATTTTACTTGTGAAATTCTGAAAAACTACAAGTTAATTACTACTAACTTTATTCTGTTCTCCTTCAGTGCTCTGCCCCAAGAAGAAGGCAGACTATGATAACCCCAGACCTCAGAAGAAGATACCAATCCCTCCCTTACCCTCTAAACTGCCACCTGTTAATCTGATTCACCGGGACATTGTTCGGGCCTGGTGTCAGCAATTAAAGCTGAGCACCAGAGGCCAGGTGAGGCCCTAGGCTGGGGACCCTGCGGCTGGGAGGAAGGGGTAGGAGCCTTACTTGTCTTACTAATGCAGTTTTCTGTTGTTTTAGAAACTGGATGCATATAAGCGCCTGTGTGCCTTTGCTTACCCAAACCAAAAGGTAACTTTTTTAAGGATGGACGCTTCAATGTTCATCCTAATTACCTGTTGTAACCTCAAAAGGGAGTAAAGGAACTGTCTTAGCCTCCCCTTGTCCCTCCACCCCTAGTTCTAAGAAAGAACAGTATTTTCCAACTCTACTTTTTCACCATGTCTGCAAAGAGTAATAAAAATGAGGCAGCCCAGTCTGGTCAACATGGTACAACCCTGTCTCTACTAAAAATACAAATATTAGGCTGGGATTATGTAATCCCAGAATTTTGGGAAGCCAAGGTGTGCAGATTGCCTGACGTTAGGAGTTAGAGACCACCCTGGCCAACATGGTGAAACCCCATCTTTTAAAAAAAACAGAAATACTAGTGGGGTGTGGTGGAGCATGCATGTGATCCCAGCTATTTGGGAGGCTGACGCAGGAGAATGTCCTGAACCTGGGAGGCAGAGGTTGCTGTGAGCTGAGATCGTGCCACTGCACTCCAGCTAGGGCAATGAGTGAAACTGTCTCAAAAAAAAAAAAAAAAAAAATGCAGGACATCACTTAAATTTTTTTAATTGGAACAAACTGTACTTTTTTCATGTACAGCATATGGTTTTGAAATATGTATACACTGTGGAATGGCTAACTCAAAAGCTAATTAATACATCACTTTACATACTTATTTTTGTGGTGAAAATATTCAAAATCAAAATCATCTCAGCAACTTTTTCTTTTTTTTTTTTGAGACAGAGTTTCACTCTTTTTTTTTTTTTTTTTGAGACAGAGTTTCGCTCTAGTTGCCCAGGCTGGAGTGCAATGGCGCGATCTCGGCTCACCGCAACCTCCGCCTCCTGGGTTCAGGCAATTCTCCTGCCTCAGCCTCCTGAGTAGCTGGGATTACAGGCACGCACCACCATGCCCAGCTAGTTTTTTGTATTTTTAGTAGAGACGGGGTTTCACCATGTTGAACAGGATGGTCTCGATCTCTTGACCTCGTGATCCACCCGCCTCGTCCTCCCAAAGTGCTGGGATTACAGGCTTGAGCCACTGCGCCCGGCCTCAGCAATTTTTTTTTTTTTTTTGGAGACAGAGTCTTGCTGTGTTGCCCAGGCTGGAGTGCAGTGGCAGCATCTTGGCTCACTGCAACCTCTGCCTCCTGGGTTGAAGCAATTCTCTGCCTCAGCTTCCCCAGTAGCTGGGATTATAGGCACCTGCCACCACGCCGGATAATTTTTGCATAAGAGACAGGGTTTCACCATCCTGGCCAGGCTGGGCTTGAATTCCTGACCTCATGATCCGCCTGCCTCGGCCTCCCAAAGTGCTGGGATTACGAGCGTGAGCCACCGCACCCAGCCTAACTTTAGAGCAATTTTCAAGATTAACTATAGTCAGCAGGTTGCACAATAGATCTTTTGAACCTAGTCCTCCTGTCTAAGTGAAACTTTGTATTTGATCCATACCTTGTTAACCCTGAGGCCATTTTAACCTTTATTATTATCTTTATTATTTAACCCTTTATGTAGGATTTCCCTAGCACAGCAAAAGAGGCCAAAATCCGGAAGTCATTGCAAAATAAATTAAAGGTGGAAAAAGGGAAAGCGTGCCTGCAGAGTTCTGGGACACAGCCTCCTCAAGTGGCGCTTCCCCCTGCAGAGGGGCTGCCTGCTCTGGAAGGGCCCACTGCTCTCCTTGAGGGAGTTAATACAGTTGTGGTGACAACTTCTGCCCCAGAGGCTGTGCTGGCCTCCTGGGCAAGAATTTCAGCCAGGGCAAGGACGCCAGAGGCAGTGGAATCTCCACAAGAAGCCAGTGGTAAGCCCAACATGAAAAGCTTATTCTTGTCCAGTGAGGAAATAAGCTTAGTAGATATTAATGCTTGATACATTTTAGGGTATATGAAAAACCCATGAAGGGTTGCTGATTCTTGGACCCTGCCCACAGAGTTTCTGTTTTAGGTCTAGGGCAGAACCTGAGAGTTCTAATAATTTCCTGGGCAATACTGGAAGGATGCTGGTCTGGGGACCAGAGTTTGAGAACCACTACTCTAAATTATTAGTGGCATCAGAGGAGGATAACAGTCTGGGTCCCATCCCCCCCCACCGGCTTTAAGCAATTTAAATTAAAAACGATCTAAAATGGATTCCTGCTGCTGAATGCCAGAATTGCATTAATAAGTTATTTAAATATTTTCCAGTTTTTTTCCTTTTTTTTTTTTTTTTTGAGATGGAGTTTCACTCTTGTTACCCAGGCTGGAGTGCAATGGCGTGATCTCGGCTCACCGCAACCTCCGCCTCCTGGGTTCAAGCAATTCTCCTGCCTCAGCCTCCTGAGTAGCTGGGATTACAGGCACGCGCCACCATGCCCAGCTAATTTTTTGTATTTTTAGTAGAGACGGGGTTTCACCATGTTGACCAGGGTGGTCTCAATCTCTTGACCTGGTGATATACCCACCTTGGCCTCCCAAAGTGCTGGGATTATGCCGGGTGCGGTGGCTCAAGCCTGTAATCCCAGCACTTTGGGAGGCCGAGGCGGGTGGATCACGAGGTCGAGAGATCAAGACCATCCTGGTCAACAGTGAAACCCCGTCTCTACTAAAAATACAAAAAACTAGCTGGGCGTGGTGGCGCGTGCCTGTAATCCCAGCTACTCAGGAGGCTGAGGCAGGAGAATTGCTTGAACCCAGGAGGCGGAGGTTGCGGTGAGCCGAGATCGCGCCATTGCACTCCAGCCTGGGTAACAAGAGCGAAACTCCATCTCAAAAAAAAAAAAGTGCTGGGATTACAAGCTTAAGCCACCGAGCCTCTCCCTCTACCTCTTTTTTTTTTTTTTTTTGTGACAGAGTTTCGCTCTTGTTACCCAGGCTGGAGTGCAATGGCGCGATCCCGGCTCACCGCAACCTCCGCCTCCTGGGTTCAGGCAATTCTGCCTCAGCCTCCTGAGTAGCTGGGATTACAGGCACATACCACCATGTCCAGCTAATTTTTTTGTATTTTTAGTAGAGACGGGGTTTCACCATGTTGACCAGGATGGTCTCGAACTCTTGACCTCGTGATCCACCCGCCTCGGCCTCCCAAAGTGCTGGGATTACAGGCTTGAGCCACTGCGCCCGGCCGCTTTTTTTTTTTTTTTTTTTTTAAAGGTAGGGTCTCGCTATGTTGCCCAGGCTGGAGTGCAGTGGCTATTCACAGGCGCGATCCCACTACTGATCAGCACAGGAGTTTTTTTTTTTTTTTTTTGAGACGGAGTTTCGCTCTTGTTACCCAGGCTGGAGTGCAATGGTGCGATCTCGGCTCACCGCAACCTCCGCCTCCCGGGTTCAGGCAATTCTCCTGCCTCAGCCTCCTGAGTAGCTGGGATTACAGGCATGCGCCACCATGCCCAGCTAATTTTTTTGTATTTTTAGTAGAGACGGGGTTTCACCATGTTGACCAGGATGGTCTCGAACTCTTGACCTCGTGATCCACCCGCCTTGGCCTCCCAAAGTGCTGGGATTACAGGCTTGAGCCACTGCGCCCGGCCTAGCACAGGAGTTTTAACTTGCCCCGTTTCTGACCTGAGTGGGTTCACCCCTCCTTAGGCAACCTGGTGGTCCCCATGCGCACACCCAATCAGCATAGTGCACTACAGCCCAGAACTCCTAGACTCAAGTGGTCCTCCAGCCTCAGCATCCCAAGTAGCCAGAACTACAGGCACCACTGTGCTTGGACAGTTTTTTTCATTGTAAAATGAGTTAGTAATACCGACCTCATATGTTGTAAGAATTACAGGAAATGCAAGAAAAGAAGAGAGTAAACTGCTTAGCTCAATCCAATCTGTGTTAAGAGTTGAGACCCCCGAACTTATTTCATGAAGCCCTTTCTAGACACTCTGGGTTAGTCTTTTTTTTTTTTTGGAGACGGAGTTTTGCTCTTGTTACCCAGGCTGGAGTGCAATGGCACAATCTCAGCTCACCGCAACCTCCGCCTCCTGGATTCAAGCAATTCTCCTGCCTCAGTCTCCTGAGTAGCTGGGATTACAGGCACGCGCCACCATGCCCAGCTAATTTTTAGTATTTTTAGTCGAGATGGGGTTCCACCATGTTGACCAGGATGGTCTCGATCTCTTGACCTCGTGATCCACCCGCCTCGGCCTCCCAAAGTGCTGGGATTACAGGCTTGATCCACCGCGCCCGGCCTCTGGGTTAGTCTTAGTACCGTCTGTCCACCTACGACTATACTGCTTCCAACTAGATGAAGCTTTAACAGGAACTGTCTTGTATGCCTTTCTAAAAGTACAGGATAGTGTAGAGGTTAAGTTAGGATTTCAGGGTTCATGTCTTGGTGCTGGCAGTTAAGAAGGAATCAAGGGTGATGGGCCATAATGCAGTCTTAGGTGAGTATGTCATCCTGTTGGCGTGGGTACCTCTCTGTCTTTGTTTCGCCAGGTGTCAGGTGGTGTGTGGTCCATGGGAAAAGTCTCCCTGCAGACACAGATGGTTGGGTGCACCTGCAGTTTCATGCTGGTCAAGCCTGGGTTCCAGAAAAGCAAGAAGGGAGAGTGAGTGCTCTCTTCCTGCTTCCTGCCTCCAGTTTTCCACCCCCGCACCTCGAAGACAATATGTTGTGCCCCAAATGTGTTCACAGGTAATTACCTGGTGCTTTTCTACAAACTAAGAGTGGGTGCCTGATTTTTCGACTGCAGAAAGTCAAGATAAGATACACATTAATCTTAAATAGCCATGTATTTTCAAGCCCAAATTGTCAGTAAAGAGTTTCAACAAAATTATCACTCAAGTTTATCCCCAGGAAAAAGAAAGCATTTGTGTATCAGGGTTTAATGCTTCTAACCTGAGACACAGAATTCTGGCAACAACAAACGTTGTATAATTACTATATTCAGAGTATATGTCCTACACAGAAATAACGACTAGCAAAAAACCTCTTTAAGTAGTGTACAGTTTAATAGGGATGGTGGGCCCATAAGCACCTGGAATAGCATGACAAATATCAAAGAAGAGGTTCCTTAAGGATAGAACTGACCGTATGGAAAGTGGGGATCAGGTCATTTCTCAGCCTAGGAAATAAAGCGAGACCGTCTCTGACAGGAGAAGTGTGTGAATGTGTGATTTTTGCTTCTTTGAGATATCCTGCTTTTTGCTGTATTTTGATAATCTCTCTGCGCCAAGCAGCTGAATAGAACTGAGGTCACTTTGGATAGTTCTTTAATAACATACTTGGGTTTTTGGGAAAGGGATGAGAAGAGCCACTCCGAGGCCTTGTGCCCATGGCTGGCACAAGTCAGGGAACATATTACAGAGGTGTGATAACTTGGCTGATGGTTGTCATTCTTTAATGACATGGTCACAGGCTTGCTTACCTTATGATTCTAAAGGTGTAAGGGCAATTCCAGCAGCGGGGTTCTGGGCTATTTTCCAGGACGAAGCTTGATATGTCTTGATTCTTATCTTTTTAAAAACAAACATTTAATTTGCTTTATAGGAACAAGGTCTTAATAAAAAGCCTCCAATGGGAATAGAGTATCAGGAAAAAGGCCGTATCTATGGTAATTAATGGCACAAAGGCTGGAGAGTTGGATTCCGTGGTGCTGCTGACAGGTGAACTTCGTCCTCTCCACACCTGCTTACGGTCCGCGCAGACTGCTGGGGTGGCATATCTTAGCCTAAGACCCCAGCAGGTCCTGTTGCTTTGTGAGTAGAGATATGATAGACTCTTGCATTTGAAAACGGAAAATCATTTCACAAATTGCCATAAATTGTAGTTAATATGTACAAAAACGTATTCATACTACCTTTCTAAAATAGACTTCAGCAGCTGTTTTGTTTTGTTCTGTTCAGTTTTATTTTATTTTTTTGAGACACTATCTCACTCTGTTGTCCAGGCTGGTGTGCAGTGGTGCGATCTCAGTTCGGTGCAAACTCTGCCTCCTGGGCTCAAGTGATTCTCCTGCCTCAGCCTCCCGGGTAGCTGGGGTTACAGGCACCTGCCGCCATACCCAGCTATTTTTTAATTTTTAGTAGAGATGGCGTTTCACCTTGTTGGCCAGGCTGGTTTCAAACCCCTGGCCTGCAATGATCCACCCATCTCAGCCTCCCAAAGTGCTGGGATTACGGGCATGAGCCACTGTGCCTGCTTTCAGCAGCTCTTTTAAGTGAGAACTTCTTCAGCTGAGCATTGGAAGGAGTTGAGTAAAACGGTAGTTTGCTCCTGTGCTCAATTTTTTTCCTCCTCTGGACACTGATGACTTCAGGAGCTGCTTCATTCCAATTGCAATTTCATAAAACATTTCATAAAAAGTATTTTAAGGCAAAGAAAGCCTGTTAATTCTCTCCCTCCCCCAAAACGTGATTCTTTTTTTGTTTGTTTGTTTGTTTTTGAGACGGAGTTTCGCTCTTGTTACCCAGGCTGGAGTGCAATGGCGCGATCTCGGCTCACCGCAACCTCCGCCTCCTGGGTTCAGGCAATTCTCCTGCCTCAGCCTCCTGAGTAGCTGGGATTACAGGCACGCGCCACCATGCCCAGCTAATTTTTAGTATTTTTAGTAGAGATGGGGTTTCACCATGTTGACCAGGATGGTCTTGATCTCTCGACCTCGTGATCCACCCGCCTTGGCCTTCCAAAGTGCTGGGATTATAGGCTTGAGCCACTGCGCCCGTCCAAAACATGATTCTTAACATTCAAAACAATGTTTTTCAGAGTTCTCTTAATCTGAGATTTTTATGGTATGACTACAGAATCAAAACACAAGGCACTTTGTATTATTTCACTTTAAGTTTTGTATATATCTGGTGTTTAAAATGTTTAAGATTGCTTCCCCACTCAGAAATACGTAATATATTGAACTTAAAATGTGTTTATTAACCAATTCTCCGTAAATAAATATGTATAGAAAATAATTCATCTGTTGTATTTAGGGAACTGTATTCACTGCATGCAAATTATTGTTAGTGTTCTTAAAGTAGGAGGAAACCGAAACGTGTGATTTTTCTTTTGCATTACTCATTTGTTTTTTCTTTATTAGTTGGTGGTGTGGGTTGGATCATACTTTTTTTAAAACTACTTACTTAGGTGTAATTGACGTACAAAAAGCTGTACATATTTAATGTTTCTTATTGAGTATAATTAATTTTTATTTTTGTGTGTGTGTACTTCCTAAATTTATAATCCTGTGAGTCTGCGAACAGATCTGTTTTTCACTTGTTCTGATTTAATGACAGTTTCCAACATTGTTTTGTTACTACAAATAGGGATCTATTTTTTTTTTCACCTTCAATGAAGATAATAAAAATAATGCACTGGAAGGAGTGGCAGAGTTGGAAAATTTGTAACCATTATAATATAGATGTAATAGGTTAGGAAAGAATCCTCAAAATTGTTAAAACAAGGAAGGAAAGTTTGTTGAGAAGCAAGATGTTCTTCTCTCCTGCTATTCGTCTCTGGTGGTTAGTTGTTCAGTGTAATAAATAATAGACATTTGTTTCTTAATACTATGCATATTGTTTGTTTTAATTTTGTTTCTTTTTTAAAACTTCTCCCCTGCTTTCTTCGGATGGATCAAGTTTCTTTCTTTCTTTCTTTTTTTTTTTTTTGAGACGGAGTTTCGCTCTTGTTACCCAGGCTGGAGTGCAGTGGCGCCACCTCAGCTCACTGCAACCTCCGCCTCCTGGGTTCAGGCAATTCTCCTGCCTCAGCCTCCTGAGTAGCTGGGATTACAGGCACGCGCCACCATGCCCAGCTAATTTTTTTTTGTATTTTTAGTAGAGACGGGGTTTCACCATGTTGACCAGGTTGGTCTCGATCTCTCGACCTTGTGATCCACCCGCCTCGGCCTCCCGAAGTGCTGGGATTACAGGCTTGAGCCACTGCGCCTGGCTCTTTTTTTTTTTTAATTAATTTTTTTTTTAAATAACGGCGGGGCTTCTCCATGTTGGTCAGGCTGGTCTTGAACTCCGGACCTCAGGTGATCCGCCCGCCTTGGCTTCCAAAGTGCTTGGATTACAGGCATGAGCCACCGCGCCTGGCTTCTATTCTGTTTTCTTCCATTCTATTAATTTGGAAATTTCCTTTGCTTAATTGCATTCTACCAGTAAGACCGTTTATTTACTCATCCTTCCTTCCCTGGGAAGATAAAACCTTAAAGTTACATACTCTCTAAATCAGGTGTCCCCAAACTTTTTACACAGGGGTCCAGTTCACTGTCCCTCAGACCGTTGGAGGGCCGCCACATACTCTGCTCCTCTCACTGACCACCAATGAAAGAGGTGCCCCTTCCTGAAGTGCGGCGGAAGTGGGGCAGGCTGGATAAATGGCCTCAGGGGGCCGCAGTTTGGGGATGCCTGCTCTAAATCACCCTGATTTCCACAAGCCTCCCCCAAGTTCCTATCACCACGTTCAGTCCCCCACTCCCTGTTTCCCTCCCATACTCCGAGAATATAAAGAGGAAGACTGCTGGAGCTATAATTTCTGGGTCTCAGTTCCTTGGCAGAGGCATGACATGGTATGATACTTTGTTTTGCGGGGAGCTGAGAGAAGAGGTTTATATTCCTAATTTCCCATCTGGATGTAAAGGTGACATTTGCACAAATAGGTCTGTGCCCACATTGTATGTGGTGTGGAAAACCTGGAACTAGCCCTCCAAATTTTTCTTGTCTCCAAAGGAACATGGCAGCTCCCAAGGGAGAATGTTGGTCAGGGCCTCTGAACTCATTGCTGATAGAAATAAAATTTCTGCAGTTTGGCATGATGAGGTTTATGGACATAAAAATTGGAATTTGGTGACAGCCACCTTATCCAAGTATTCCAATTTAGCACCACCAGGAATGTTACAAACTGAAATGTCTTTTCCAATCAACAATGGAAAGTACACAGTATCATTGCCAGAAAAAATGTAAATCTAATCATGAGGAAGCAATCAGTCCTGATTATACCTGTTGTCTCAGGCTGATTAAGTGAGTACATCCTGCTTTGGATGACAGTTACTTAGACGCCGGGCGTGGTGGCTCACGCCTGTAATCCCAGCACTTTGGGAGGCCGAGGCGGGTGGATCACGAGGTCAAGAGATCGAGACCATCCTGGTCAACATGGTGAAACCCTGTCTCTACTAAAAATACAAAAAACTAGCTGGGCATGGTGGCACGTGCCTGTAATCCCAGCTACTCAGGAGGCTGAGGCAGGAGAATTGCCTGAACCCAGGAGGCGGAGATTGCAGTGAGCCGAGATCGCGCCATTGCATTCCAGCCTGGGTAACAAGAGTGAAACTCCGTCTCAAAAAAAAAAAAAAAGAAACAAAACAGTTACTTAGACATAGCCATATGTGAAGAGTGACAGAGGCCAAGGTAGGGGCTCACGCCTGTAATCCCAACATGGGAGACAGGCTGGCAGGTGACTTGAACCCAGGAGTTCAAGACCAACCTGGGCAACGTGCTGAAAACCTTTCACCAAAATAAAAAAAATCAGCCAGCTGGGGTGGCCTGTGGCCTGTAGTCCCAGCTACTCAGGAGGCTGCAGAGTTCAAGGCTGCAGTGAGCCGTGATCGCACCACTGCCTTTCAACCTGGGCAACAGAACAAGACCCTCAAAAAAGATCCAGGAAGTAAGGTAATTAACAAGAGGACAATCCATTCAAATAAAGTTGATCTAGTGCGGTGGCTCATGCCAATGATCTCAGCACTTTGGATGGCTGAGGCCGGTGGATTACTTGAGGTTTGAGTTTGAGACCTGCCTGGCCAACATGGTGAAACCCTGTCTCTACTAAAAATACAAAATAAGGCATTTGTGGTGGCAGGCACCTGTAATCCCAGCTACTTGGGAGGCTGAGGCAGGAGAATCGCTTGAATCTAGGAGGCGGAGATTGCAGTGAGCCCAAGATTGGGCCATAGCACTCCAGTCTGGGCAAAAAGATTGAAACTTCATCTCACAAAACGTTAAGTTTTCCATAAAATATGTCAGTGATTCTCATTTAGTCCCCAAACCAGGAGCATCCATATTAGCCTGAAACTTTGAAATGCAAATTCACTGCAACCTCCACCTCCCGGGTTCAAGCAGTTCTGCCTCAGCGTACCCCAAGTAGCTGGGACTACAGGTGCGTGCCATCATGCTTACCTCATTTTTGTGTTTTTAGTAGAGACGGGGTTTCACCATATTGGTCTGGCTGGTGTGAAACTCCTGACCTCATGATCCGCCCCCTTTGGCCTCCCAAAGTGCTGGGATTATAGGCGTGAGCCACCACGCCTGGGTGAAATGAAAATTATTTTATCTTAGACCTACTGAATGACACAGGTTGAGGTTGAACAATGTGTTTTTAAAAGTCCTGCAGAAAAGTGTAAGAACCACCGATCTTGCTGATAAAAAGTAAAATGGGTTTTCCAAAGGGCAGAAGTAATAAGAACTGACTGGAAGGGCCCCAAAGGGATTTTTCTGGAGATAGAAATATTTTCTATCTTGATTGGGGGAATTGGCTACTCTTTTTTTAAAAGCTCGTAACAGTGTACATTCAACATTTGTGTATTTCACTCAATTT